CGACTCTTGATCTTGGGGTTGTGAGTTCAAGCTCCACGCTGGGTGCGGAGATTACTTATATAAATAAACTTTAAAAAGGGTGGGGACTGTTCTATACCATGGTATTACTTATAACTAGTTACAAAAGGGACTTAAAGTGCTCCTAAATGCAAAGATTCCAATGTTGAGAATTACACTTGCAAAAATCTACTAAAAATAGATAATGAATTGGTCATTTCTCAGCCCTAAAAGATAATTTGTAAACATGTCACTGATGAAGATCTGAAAAATCCCAAGGACCAATCTGGAAAACTAAACTGATGCAGGGCAAAAAGTAATTTCAAAAAGACATGTAATTGTACTAGTAGTCTAAGCGGTGTGGTACAACAGAAGGAAATACACAGTAAACCTAGGAGTGTGTAGCTAGTCCTCCACACGTAAGAAAAAGATGGATCTGGTGGATGCGAGTCTATCAGTCTGAAGCATTTGACCAGAGTTTCTTAAAATAGAAAGACTTTGTCCTTAATCTTTTCCCTATTTGATAAAATGTCCCTTTGTTCTCACCCTATGCTAAATCAATGTTTTGACCTGGTTTCCCAAGTCAGTTGATATTTTATTCACTGTAAACATCAAATTAGTGGTCATAGCTCTCTAACACATGGCATGTTATTCCTTAAGAGCCCCCATCAACTTGGGGCAAACATAAAATTAAGTTTTTGACTTTGTAAAGCTGAAATTTTTACAGAACTAATTTTTCTTATTTTTAAAATTTTTTTATTTTTGAGAGAGGACATGTGGGGTGGGGGGTTGGGAAGGAGGGGCTGAGGGAGAGGGAGAGAATCTTAAGCAGGTTCTGAACTCACGGCAGAGCCCAACAGTGGGCTCAATCTCATGACCCTGAAACCAGCACCAGTTACAAAGAAATCAAGAGTTGGACATCCAAACAACTGAGCCACCCAGGCACCCCTAGAACCAGATAATTTTTTGATAAGTATGCACACTCTAGTATTGAACTGAATGTATTTTGGTTTAAAAAATTTTACTTCCTTTATGAAAGTATATTACAGCTTACCAAACATCACAAATACAACCCATTTCTAATAGTAATATTTAAAGTAATAACTAACATTTATATAAGGTTTATTGTATACCAGGCACTGCCATTTTACATATTTTAACTTGTTTTAATTGTCATAACAACCTACAGAAAGGTACCTATTATCATCTCCTCTTTACCAATGAATAAACTGAGGCAGAGGACAATTAAGTAACCTGCTCCATAACATACATGGTTAAGTGGTGAAAGTGATATTCAATCCAGGATTTCTGGCTCCAAAGTCAGGATTCTTAATCTCTTAGCCTTGTGTTACCAGTTTTCTGATTTTTAAGCATCTTATTTTTCAGAACAGTTTTGGAATTCCATATATAGCAGAGCAAGAAATGTTTCCCAAATCCTCATGATTAAGCTATTAAACTAGAAATGGTTTACCCACTCATTTAACCATGGTTTCTATTAGTTTTAATAAGCACAAACATCAAATCATGAAACTGTCAGAAATTAATACAAAATTAATCAGAAAAATATATAAACCATTATTTTAAAATGTACATATGTCCACTTTCAAAGTATACTAACTTGAGTTGTAAGTACACATATAAAATTAGTCATGGTTTTAGATTAATTGGATACTATTCTAGAAGCATGGATTTTATAGTTTTTAAAGAAAAATATTAATTTTAGCTTTTCTGACTACTAATTTATTTCTTTTTAAAGATTTTATTTATTTATTAGTCAGAGAGAGAGAGAGAGAGAGCGAGCATAGGCAGACAGAGTGGCAGGCAGAGGCAGAGGGCGAAGCAGGCTCCCTGCCGAGCAAGGAGCCCGATGTGGGACTCGATCCCAGGTCGCCGGGATCATGACCTGAGCCACAGGCAGCCGCTTAACCAACTGAGCCACCCAGGCGTCCCGTGACTACTAATTTAAAATGACTCAAATCACTTACATGTTAACTCTAAATTCTTAACTCTCTCGTTATATAGCTCCTATAAAACATAACTTGTTTTATGGATTAGTCATTCTACAAACTAGACTGTAATTAACCTCATATCACATAAAATAGTTTTAATTTGTGTTTTCTTCCAATTTTTCTTCACATTTAATGAAGCCAACCTGTACCACTGGACTGCTACATTCCCAAATTTCTATTTTCTCTTTTCACCTTGATAGCATATTAAAAGGAAAAGCACTTCTCAAAAGGCAATCTTTTATTATACTAACAATGTTCTTTTTTTTTTTTTTAAGTCTATTTATATTTTTTAGTAACCTCTACACCCAATGTGGGGCTTGAACTCACAACCCAGAGATCAAGAGTCACATGTTCTTCCAAATGAGCCAGGCAAGGACCCCAGCAACGTTCTTGGTTTTTATCTGGGTGCCACTTACAGGAGTTATGTTCAACTTATGAAAATTCATCAAGCTAAATACACTTCACTCTATAAAAGCTGTTTTTTAAAAATCTGTGCTTAACTTTACTTCATCAAAACCCACAACATACCAACCTTATTGGAAGTTGTAATTTTTTAAAGTTTTTTATCGAACCCTGTACAGCACTGAATGATATTCAATTTGTATCTGCAGCATATGGAAAAAAGAGCTACCCAAGATACTCTATAGAACCAAGAACAGCTATTTAATTCTTTCACATACCCCTGAGATTTAAAGACCTCAAAAGGAAAGAAAATATATTTTTCAGCTTTCACGTTGTCATTTTATTCTCACAACAACTTTATCAGGTAGATACTATCACACACTTGTGGCAGATTGTATTTTCCAAGGGCAGCCATAATAACACATATCCCACCCCAAAGGCTTTTCTTATGTGACACTGATGCTCCTCCATTACAGATGAGCCTATATTTTCTCTTCTGGAAAATTGTTTAGAGCTTTAGATCAGCCTTGAGTAAGAAAAGATGACAAGAAGATACTGGGTGACTCCCAAGGTTAGGACATAAAAGGCAATGCTACTTTCACCCAGCTTTCTTGCTCTCTCAAGACACCTGCCCTTGGAACCTGCCAGATGGTGAGCAGGCATTCTGCCTACTGCCTCAGCTACACCTCCAGCCAATAGGCAGCATCAACCACCAGATCTGGGTGACCCACCCTTCTCCAGATGATTCCAATCCCCAATCTTCAAGTCTTCTAGCTATGCCCCAGACAGCATGAGGCAGAGACAAGCCATCCCTGTCTGAATTCCGGGCCCATAGAGACCATGAGATAATAAATGATCACTATTGCCTTAAGCCAATAAGCTTCTAAAGATAACTGGTTATGCAGCAATATAAAACTTAGAAAACTGAAACACTTTATAAATAAGGAACACAGGTAGGTAACCACACTACCAAGTGGCAAAGCCAGAATTTGAATCCAAGTCAGTCTACAGGTAAAGCCTACAATCGTCCTACCGAAGGATATTGCCTCCAAGTTTTCCAGAGGTAACCCATCTCCAAATAAAGCAACAATCTCCAGAATTAAAATTCCAAGAGCAATAAACAGCCTCCAATATTAGTAATTTCAGTTAATACTCAGAACAATAGATCATTCAATCAGCAAGCTCAAAATCCTCGCATTACTTTTGACACATCTATACCCTTTACACTCTAATAACTTCATATCTGATAGTACCCATAACCTAGTGATATTTATGAAATAGCTCTGCATCAAAGACGGTAAGTCCAAACAATTACAGAGCACTTTACAAAACATTTTAACAATAATTTGATCTTCAGAAAACACTTCTTTGAGATTGGTAAGGCATATACCATACAGATAAGACTCAAAAAAGTTAAAAATAACTAGCTACTAGTTTAGAACCTACTACTTAAAAACAACATAGATAAGTAGGGGTTTGATTTAAGATTTTCTGACTCCAAGTCTAACACCCTTTCAACTCAACGACTCAACCTGAAACAACATTTATGGAGTGCCTTCTGTATATATTTCCATACACAACATTGTCTCTACAAGTTTAAGTATCTACTTCATGCAAAGCACCATGGAAGGTACTGTCTCTCTAATTTGTGTAATTTACTTCCAGGGTCAGTAGAAAAACATCTCTGAAATCAAGCTGATCTCTTTAAAAACCCAGTCTTTCCCCAGTTGCAACCATTCTCTCTACCCGGCCAACTGATTTTGCTAATCCACTCCCTTAACCATGTTAAAAAACTTGTCAAAGATGACATCTTACCATAAAAATATAGGTCAAATTCCCTTATCGGCTTTCAAGGTCTTCTGTAATCTGAACCTAGCCTGTTTGATTACATTAACTCCCCTGCGCTTGCTGAGGAAAAACAAATGAATCTCTGGTTTCTTCCCCAAATTCGCTTTCTTTACACTTTCTGGCCCTTCCTTTTGTTCATACTATCATCCAAATCCAGAAGTGATTCATCTTCAACCCCTGACAGAGAGGCTCTTCCCTCCAAGACCTTAAAATCCACTTTAGAGCCACAAGCAGCAATCCAATACAATGCATAATAATTCAGTTAGGTAATACAGACCACAGTTTACAGGGGATTTAGAGGAAGGGAATCCTGAAAATGGAGGAATGCCCCGAGGAGGAAGGAGCACCTGAAATAGGCTCTAACAGGATTCGAAGCGGCAGAAGTAAAAACAACCGAAACTGAGAAACAACCTAAAGGTCTTCTCTTCTACCCTACTTTTTCCCATCTACATCTTACTAATAATCTTCTAGCTGGTACTGTCTCCTTCAAGAAGGCTTCCTCAGTTACTCCACCTTCTAACCTAAAGCTCTCTCCTCTGAGCTTCTGATACAATTGCTATCTACAACACTTGTTCTGGCACTTAGTCATTCCATATTATAGACCTCACCTCTTTGACTCAACAGCTATGTCTCTACACAGTAATGAAAGCATTTGTTATCTCCTAAGCTGCACTCAGCTTAGTAGCCATTGTGGTTTTCAGTCATTTAGAAATTCATTGAACATAATACTGTTTCTTAACTTACCGGGCATCTCCTTTGGAAAGATTAGTATTTACAGGACTAAGTATAACCTTGTTTGCATCTACATCCACCACACATTTGGTATGCAAGTCAATTTCTGTAGAGAAAAAAGAAACAGAGAAAATGGTTATTTTTAAAGTTATTTATTTCAGAAAAATCATTTGAGAAAAACACAATACTCCTTCACGATAAAAACACTCAACAAACTAGGAATAAAAGGGAACTTCTCAACCTGATAAAGGACAAATACAAAAACCTGCAGCCAATGTCATGCTTAGTGGTTTACCTTAGAGGCTTACCCTGGAACATTAGGAATAAGACAAGGAAGTTCTATGGCTACAGTTTCTATTCAACATTGTTCTAGAAGTTCTGGTCAGGGCAGTTAGGCAAGATAAACAAATAAAAAGGACCCAGATTGAAAAGAATGAAGTAAAACTATCTCCATTTACAATATCATCTTGTACATAGAAAATCCTAAGGAATCCATTTAAAAACTACTAGAATAAACAAATCTTGCAAAGTTGTAGGATATAAGACCAGCATACACTAATCAGTTGTACTTCTATACACCAGCAATAAAAAACCCAGAAATGGAGTCAAGAAAACAATTTATAATAGCATTAAAAAGACTTAGCTACTTCAAAATAAATTTAAAAGAAGTACAAGATTTGTACAATGAAAATTCCAAAACACTATTGAAAGAAATTCAACATTTAAATAAATGGAAAGTTATTTTACATTCATGAACTGAAAGACTTAATACTATTAAGATGGCAATACATCCAAATTGGTCTACAAGATTCAAGGTAATCCCTATCAAAATCCCATGGTAACCTTTTCTTTTTTTTTTTTTTTTAACCAAGCTGATCCTATATCTGTATGGAAATGCATGAGACCCAGAACAACCAAATGTTCTTAAAAAAGAACAAAGTAGAAAGACCACACTCACCAATGTCAAACTTAACCACAAAGCTACATAGTCAAGACAGTGCTATACTACTGTAAGGACAGAAGAACAGGCATATAGGACACAGACAGTCCTGGAAGCCACTGTCACATTTATGGCCAAAGATTTTGACAAGACTATCCAGTGGGAAAATTACAGTCTTCTCAGAAATTGGTGGTGGGACAAGTGGATATCCACATGCAAAGAGAATGAAGACCATACATAAAAATTAATTCCAAAAGATCACAGACATAAATGTGTAAGAGCTAAAACCATAAAACTCTTAGAAGAAAACATAAGGGTAAACTCACATGATGTTGGCTTAGGTAATGATTTCTCAGACACTAAAAGCTCAAGCAACAATAAAAAAAAAAAAATAGGGGCACCTGGGTGGCTCAGTGGGTTAAGCCTCTGCCTTTGGCTCAGGTCATAATCTCAGGGTCCTGGGATCGAGCCCCACATCGGGGTCTTTGCTCAGCAGAGAGTCTGCCTCCCCCTCTCTCTCTTCCTCTCTGCCTACTTGTGATCTCTCTCTCTCTCTCTGTGTCAAATAAATAAAAACCTTTAAAAAAAAGCAATAAAAAATAGATAAATTGGACAGCATCAAAACGAAAAACTTTTGTACTTCAAAGGACGCTGTGAAGAGAGTAAAATAACAACCCACAGAATTGAACAAATCTGTAAATAATTTGTAAATTATGTATCTAATAAGGGACTTGTATCGGGAAACATCAAGAATTCTTACAAGTCAATAATAAAAAGACAATCCAATTTTTAAATGGGCAATGGATCTGAGTAGACCTCTCTCCAAAAAAAAAGATACAAAAATGGCCAATAAGCAAAGAGATGCTCAAAATCATTACACATTGGGAAATGTAAATTAGAAATACAGTAAGATACCACTTCACACCCACAGGCATAACTACTGTCAAAAAGATAATAACAAGTGTTAGGGAGGATGTGGAGAGATTGGAACCTTCATACATTATTGATGGGAATGTAAATGGTGTAGTTACTTTGCAAAACAGTCTAGCAGTTCCTCAAAAGGTTAAACAGAGAGCTGGCATGTGACCTGTCAATTCCACTCCTAGGTATATATTATCTAAGAGATATATTGTATTATATTATATTATATATTTTATTAGAAGTGATAAACTAGATCCACATAAAAGTTTGTACATAAATGTTCATAATGCTAGTATTGGGCTATTCATAACAGCCAAAAAATGGAACAATCCAAATGTCTATCAATTAATGAATGGATAAATGTCTATCAACTAATGAATGGATAAATTTAGTACATCCATAAAATTGAACATTATTTCGCAATTTAAAGGAATAAAGTACTGATACATACTACAACATGAACAAAGCTTGTGTGAAGTCAAAGAAGCCAGTTACAAAATACCACATTATATGATTCTATTCATTTGAAATGTCCAGAATATGCAAACAGAGACAGAAAATCGACTAGTTACTGCCTATGGCTGGGGAGTGACTGCTAATGGGTACGGTGTTTTGTTTATTTTTAATTGAGGTATAACTGACATACAACATTATGAGTTTCAGGTGTACAACATGATTCCCTATTTGTATATATTGCAAAATGCTCACCACATAAGGCTAATTAACATCTGTCACCATATATAATTACAAAAAATTTTTTCCATTATGAGAACTTTAAAGATCTACTCTCCTGGCAACCTTCAAATATGCAATACAGTATCACTAACTATAGTCGCCATGTGGTTACATGGGTATAGTTTTCTCTTGGGGTATGAAGATGTACTAAAATTGATTGCTGACAACTGCACAATTATGTGAGCATGATAAAAACCACTGAAATGGCTGAATTGTATGATATGTGAATTGTATCTCAATAAAGCTGTTTTTTTTCTTTTTCAATAAAGTTATTTTTTTAAAAAGTATAGGCTGTGGCATATTTATGTTTTCATATTTTTATATTCTTTTTTTGAAAGATTTATTAGGGAGAGAGAGAGTGTGAGCGGAGGTGGGGGGAGGGGAAAGGGAGAGGGAAAAAGACAATCTCAAGCAGACTCCACGATGAGCACAGAGCCCCATGTTAGGCTTGATCTCATGACCCTGACATCATGACCTGAGCCAAAAGCAAGAGTAGAGGATGCTCAACTAATTAAGCCACTCAGGCACCCCTCATATTTTTATACTCTTACATTTTTCTGACCCGAAGTATGAAACTGTTTGCCTTATCTCCGTTACCAAAAGATAAGCTCTAAGGAAAGGAGCTGCACTATACTGGAGCTATTTTGTATTTCCCAAAGAGCCTTGGCCAAATGTCAATGTCATATTCATTATAACTCAAGAGTATTTCCACTGCCAGGAAAGGTCATTTCTTTTATTGATCTCAACTTACATAACTGAGACAAATACCAAAAAGCAAAATTAAAAATTTCCCTCCCTGTACCTACCACAACTTTTCTTATATTGGTTTTTCTACAATTGTTCTCAAAGATACACTCTAGAAGTACAAAAAACTTAGCGGTCTTTCTTTTAGCCAATACATTTTTCAGGGGAAAAAAAAACTGAAAGGAAAACTATTGAGCTATGTTTTACCTAGGTGTAGAAGACTAATCCCAAAGCAGCACATGTTCTACTCTGATCAACTAGCACTAAAGTCTATATGCCCACAGCTCAAGAAAGTTTGCAATCATCATACTCTGTTAATACTACTCCTTAATGTTTTCTGACTATATTGTATTGGCTGGCCCCTTACAGTCAAATCTGTATTATACACAAAAGTATTATCGACTCTCCAGAAATTGCACTGTGTGACTCAGAATCTACCATCTCACCACCCACCACAAAGTTAGTTATTAGTGTCTTGCAAGAATGTTTGGTTTAAGCAAAGGAGTTGCATATACAGTTCTGTATGCAGAAGTATACATTAGAATGCATGCCTGAAAAACTGTAAATCAAATATTTTCTCACTAAGTGATCGGTTTTCATTTCAAATGATCTTGAATTGAGAAGGGATCCAAACATTTTCCTTCAATATTTCTATGCTTTTTCCCTATCCTCTTCACAGCTCCTCCCTTCTCTGTCTCATAACCTCATTAGATAGAACTAGTAATTTGGAAACATTAAAAGGCATGATAAAGGAACCAATCCTGGGAATATCCTATATAATACACAGAATCACCTAATAACTAATATATTCAACCAAAATTAATTTTGTCCTAAATATTAAATGCCACCCATTAAAGGTGGCCTTTAAAATATAAACACTATCTTCATTTCAGTAGCTCCATTTTATCAAACAAAATTCCCATTCTGATTTTGTTGATTGATGGACAGATATTAAAACAAGGTTGTTTAGAATATGGGTAGTACATCTAGGACACACACACCCAAGCAAATAAATGCAGTGAGATTTGAAGAAAGTTTAAGGGTCAGATATATAAGAAACATTTAATATAAATGCTATAGCTAGAGTACCATTAAATATTAGTTGGTTGAATTCAAGTATATTGCAAAATGGGTGCCTGGCTCATTCAGTGAGTAGAGCATGCAACTCTTAATCTCAGGGCTGTGAGTTCGAGCCCCACGCTCAGTGTACAGATTACTTAAAAATAAATTCTTCAAAAAACAAAAACTACAGGGGAGCCTGGGTGGCTCAGTTGTTAAGCATCTGCCTTCAGCTCACGTCATGATCCCTGGGTCCTGGGATTGGCCCGACATCAGGCTCCCTGCTTGGCGGGAAGCCTGCTTCTCCCTTTTCCATTCGCCCTGCTTGTGTTCCTTCTCTCACTGTCTCTCTCTCTCTGTCAAATAAATAAATAAAATCTTTAAAAATTAATTAATTAATTAATTTAAAAATTACATTGCAACAAGATTCTGATTATGACACTTTCTCCATTTAAAACTTCTTGCTCTACACTGCTTAGAAAGCAAGCAGTAATTAAATAATAGCAATAAATGTAGGCCTTAAATTTAAATTTTAAAAACTAAAAAAAGTTTTTTTAGATTATATTTATTTATTTGTCAGAGAGAGAGAGCAAGCACAAGCAGGGGGAATGGCAGACAGAGGGAGAAGCAGGCTCCCCACCGAGCAAGAAGCCCAACACAGGACTTGATCCCAGGACCCCGGGACCATGACCTGAGCCGAAGGCAGA